GCAGGATAGAATTTCATTGTACTTCAATCTTGAAAAGCTTTGGCAAAGTCAAGACAGGCATTTGTTAGATTTAGAGATTTAAAGGCAGAGAGAGAGAGAGAGGAGAGAGAGAGAGAAGTAGAGAGAGATAGGGTGATCTTCCATCTGCTGGTTCACTCTCCAAATGGTCACAACTGCCTCAGGCTGGTCCAGACAGGCATTTGTTAGATTTAGAGGATCCTATTTAAGTGAAGGAAAACACTGATCAGTATGAGGTTTGATACAATATTCCTTTGTGAGTATGTGTAAGTTCCTGTACTAAATCATAGTATTTCAAAGTGTGCATTGAAGAATGCAAATGACGAGAATGCATATATGTATTTAGATTTTTTAAAGATTTGTTAATTTATTTGAAAGTCAGAGTTATGGAGAAGGCAAGAGAGGGAGAGATCTTGCACCCTTTAGTTAGAGCATTTAATATGTGGAAATCCTGCAAAACAGTATCACTCAAGACCAAGATGACGATTACATGATAAGCATGTATGGCATTAGTGAAAAATTAAAGTAATTGAATAGCTATACTGTAGTTTGAACATTTGTACCTTCCAAACTCCAAATGTTAGAATCCTGTCTGTGAAGGTGACCACATTAAAAGTGAGGTCTGAGACCCACACACTGGTGCAGTGGGCTAAGCATCTGCCTGCAACACTGTCATCCCATATGAGCTCCAGTTCAAATCCCAGCTGCTCTACTTCCAATTCAGCTCCCTGCTGAAGGGCCTGGGAAAGCAGCAGAAGATGGCCCAAGTTCTTGGGCTCTGCCACCCACCCACACAGGAGACCTAAATGGAGTCCTGGACTCCTCGCTTCAGTCTGGACCAGCCTGAGGCAGTTGTGACCATTTGGAGAGTGAACCAGCAGATGGAAGATCACCCTATCTCTCTCTACTTCTCTCTCTCCCTCTCTCTCTCTCTCTCTCTCTCTCTGCCTTTCAAAAAAATTATTTTTGAAAAAATAAGGACTTTTGAGAGTGATTAGCTCATGTGGGCAGAGCTGCTTGTGATTGGGCTGGGTGCCTTGTAGAACAGGCCCCAGAGAGCTCAGCCAAACCTCTCACCCATGTGAGATGGTTGCTGTCCAGGAAGAAGCAGGCCTCATCCAGACAGGAACTCTGCTGGTGTCTTAACCTTGATCCCAGTCTTCAGCTGTGAGCAACTAGTTCATGCTGTCTGTAAACCATCCCAGTCTATGGGATTTTGCTCTGGCAACCCCAATGGACTAGGACAGGCAAGCTTCCCAATTTAAGGAAGGTAGGATTCTGTGTATAACTCTATGTCTATAACTTTAAGAGCCCAATCTTCAGAAAATAAATTGAAAATATTTTACTGGATGAAAGCCCTGGCATTTTGGAGAAATACATCTTTGGGTTCACTAATGATAGAAAAATTGATTGTTGAAATCTACAATATTCTTCTGATAAGTTCAGCACAGTAAAATTCAGCCCAGAGAATAAAATAAAGCCTTTAGAATCTGAAGATGCTGTACAGGTGCAGAAGGATAAGAATAAATTTACATTTGATGAAACCAGGAACATATTCGTATATGATCCTGTCATTCTTCTCTTGTGACATTCAATGCTGACCACAGTGTTGTTACTAGTTCAGTTTTTGCCTCTTCTGTGTGTTCAGGAAGTTACTTTTCTAGCTTAAGTGTAACAATATTTTACATCTAACACCTGGCTCAATGTATATTTGTATTATAAAATAATTAGTTGACATGTATATCAAAGATTTTCCTCCTGTGGTTGATGGTTAGGTTTTGTACTTTATGCTAAGAACTCTTTCATATGCATTATAACTATAGAATTCTAAGGAAAAGAAAGAGCATGCAATTTTAATCTCCATGTTGTGTCTTGAAAAGATTGTTACTTACCTAACAAAGCACAATTCTGAATGGCAAATCTCAGAATTCTAATCAGTGTTTGCATAACAATTGAATTCTTTCTGAGGAACCCTGAGGACTTACTTTTAATTGGGAATTTACATTCCACCCACATTCATCTCCTTTTCATATTATCTTGCAAAACTGCACCTAAATATTTGTGGAATAAATATAATCTGCATAATATCAACTGTTCAGTTCTTTGAAAACATAATTATTACTCAAGTGTTTTGCTGTTTGTTTGTTTTTCCACCAAGGCCATGCTTAGATTATTCTAAGGAATGTCTGGCAATGACATAATCTCCTTCTCCTGTCCACACTGAGTTTGATTGTATGACTTTCTCTGGACAATGAAACTAAATTAGCAAATATGATCCAAGCAAAGACTTGAGAAACCTTGCATGTTGCAGCTTTCCCCCTCAGAGCTCCTAGAAATGCTTCTACAACCACCTGAAGATTGGGATTCCAGCCTATCCTGGTAGAAGATGGAAACACACACAACAGAAATGCAGTTGTTTTAGTGGAGGCCCAGCCAGCTCATAGTCAACCCACCAGCCAAGTGCAGATTCATGAGGAAGCCAGGTACTGCTGGCAATAAAACTGGCCAAGTAATTCCAGTCCAAATCTGATGCTCAAGATTGTGAGTGAATTACAGCTCGGTATCCATTAAGATCCAGCAATGTGTAGAGTGGTTTGTTATACAGCATTGGCTTAACGTCATGGCATTGAAAAGGGACTTCAAAGAAGTGATAAAGTTGTGTGTGCATGTATGTGTACATATGTAGATATATCATATTTACATATCATTATTTTTCAATAGTGTTAAGTCATTTAGGAAAAAAAAGAAAAAATATCCAAATACCTTCAAAACCTCTCAAACTAGGCTTATAGAATTACTTTTCAAAAGGAATTACAGCTCATACAAAAGTGAAACCTCTGTTGAATGCCTAGATAGCTGGGGAAAACCAAGATCCCCAGGTTAGTAAACACAGAGTTTCTACTTTCTTCTTCACTGAAGGCTCAGTATTACAGCCATCATTACGATACACTGGAAGCAAACTCCAATTTCCAATCTTCCTCATGTATTATATAAAACACAGTTAGCTTTCCTGGAGTTCACTGTCTCTCTATAATGACAGAAATTTGTGGTTCTCCCCTGCCTATTGTCCTGTTCCCAGTTAAAAAATAATTAAACAAGAGCAAAACACAGGATAGGCTTTAGGTCTAGCAGTTATGATGTTGGTTGGTTGCATTCCATATTGGGTTCAGCTCAGCTCCTGGCTCCAGCTTCCTGCTAACATAGATCCTGGGATGCCACTGTGGTAGCCTCAGTCAACGACGTTCCTTACTACTCACAGGGGAGACCTGGATTGGATTCTGGCTCCCAGCTTCAGCCCCGAGCCGAGGATCATCATGTACACTTGGGGTATGAGCAAGCAATAGTTGTATCCCCTCTCTCTCTCACTCTCTGCTCTCAAATAAGTAAATAAATAATAATTTTTTAGAAATTAAAAAACAATAAAACAAATGCCCCCTCTCTTTCTCTCTGCCTCTCAAATAAGTATATAAATTTTTAAGTAAACAATTTTTTAGAAATGAAAACATAGTGAAACTATTGTCTGATGATATAGATTTTGGAACAGGCTTTCTTGCATGCCATAAGCTGTACACTTATAGATGGAACTTTGTGAAGTTCAAGGGAAGGAAATGTTATGCTCCATAAGTTAGGTACTAGTCATGATTAATAAAACACAAACTGGCAATGTATAAAAACACATGAAAGTGTTCCTGTATGCATTTTCCCCACCCAGAAGTAACCTAACAGGGCTTGAGATGTAAATTAACAGAGGAAAGAAGATGATTTAAGAAATTAGATGAACAGTTTGCTCGCCTAAGATATGCATTCATATGTCTGCACCCTGTTGATATTTCCTTGGTTCCAGTGGGATCCCGGAGGAGGTGTGTACAGTGAAAGAGGAAATGAAGACTCCAGCCCTCCAAGTGCCAATAATAACTGCACTGTCCATAAAGATCTTTGCATTTGACTTTCAGGAATGTGTATCTGAAGCTGAACAACTGGTAACCGTAAGTCAGCTAGATTCTCCCAGGGCAAGTCACAGCCCTTACAAAGAGTGTGCTGGGAGCATCATAAGAGGAGACCATTTGTCATCCAAATAAAATTCAAGAAGGGGATCTAGGAAGTAATTAATACAAAATTAATGTAATAGTACTCTTTAGGTCTTACTATTTGAGATCCACAAATTTTTAATAATTCCAAAGTGTTCTCTGAGTTAGTAGCAGAATTTTGCATTACCAAGACCAGCACAATTTCAAAAATATTTGGAGTAATGGGACAAAAATATTCATGAGTGGTCTACGTGCCCTTGTATTCCATCATTTCCTTTACGTTGCACCATTTGATGATTTCTGAACCTGAAACATTAATGCGGGTCATGGCCATGCAAGCATTCAAGGGCCAGTGCATGAACTCGCAACGACTGCTCACCTTCCGTGGTTCCCAATGACATTGTGTGTGGAGATGCTAGAGAGCCACCATGCTGGGAGTGTTTATTTGGAAGCCTGGACTTAGGAGACTCAGTATGGAGAGTGAGCAAATGAGCATTTTTGTATCATGCCATTGAGGCTCGGAAGCTAATGTGTTAGCGCAACATAACATACCCTATTCTGACCAATACAGGAAACTACTCGGGGGTTGTCAACTTTCTAACATGCCAAATAGGAGATTTTGAAAGGATACAAAATTCCTCACCACATTCCATCATTATGTCAAATAAATATTTTCACACACACCTCCTCACCACCAACGAATACAGAAAGAACGTTATTGCAGAACACAGAATTCTTCTTTAAACTCAATAAATGTAGGGTTTTTTCCCCCATAAAATCACTCACTGATTTTTGATTTTTTCATTTTGCTGGGTAAAAATACTTAATCATTAAATAGCACACCTTTCTTCCTTTTGATAATTAAGAACAATGATTCCAGATATTTAAAAAATGGTACAAGAGGGTTATTGAACCAAAGCAATGAAAACAATCCCTGGCAATGCCCAGCTTTACCTGTCTTTTGGTGAGATCCAGATTCTCTGCTATCTTGTATCTCCTCAGTCTAGTCACATAGTTGTGATGGGCAAATTCTGCTTCTAGTCCTTGGATTTGCTCTTGGTAAATGTTGTCCTTTCCTTCCTGGGTTTGCTGTTGACTTCAGACTTGTAATTTCCTTCTTGGGATCTGAAAAAAATTAGTACCAACTCATTCATTCAAATATATGTAATCATGTGATTTACTGTATTCATCATGGCTGAGTTACTGCTTTCCCAAGTGCTGTGCTAGTCTTGGGACAAATGGAGAGCAGAAGCAGTAAAATACTCTCACCTCCATCATGCGCAACACATTCCTTGGTTTTCCAATCTGCCTTCAAGCAACTGATGACCTAATTGGAGATGTGTCAAGTTTTCTCCTTACAAAACATGAACTGTATATAACCACTCATCATATGATATTATAATAAGATGGACAAAATCCTTTCTAGAAGACAATTTTAGATATGAAATTTAGTAAGTTCTTAACACACAGGCTTGAGGTCTAAGTATGTACAGAATGATTCTCCATTTTTAAGCATTATTTATTTATTTGAAAGGCAGAGCAAGTGATAAAGTGAGAGGGAGAGACAGAGAGAGAGATCCTCCACCCACTGGTTCACTCCCCAAATGACCACAAAGGTCTTGAGGCTGGGTCAACCAAAGCCAAGAGCCAGGAACTCCATCTGCATTCTTCTGCTACTTTCCCAATAGAATTAGCAGGGAGCTTGTTGGAAAGCAGAAGAGCCAAGAACTTGGGTCCCTGCCGCCATGTGGGAGACCCAGATGGAGATCGGGCTTGCTTGATTCAGCCTGGCTCAGCCCTGGCCATTGTGGCCATTCAAGGATTGAAACCTGTGGATGGAAGATCCTTTTTCTAGTTTCTCTCCCTCTCTATAGAGCTCTGCCTTTCAAATAAATAAATCTTTGAAATTAAAAACAGAAGAATTAGAAAATACCTCTATTTAATTATGATACTAAGTATTGCTATGATAACTAAGACACACAAGCAGACTCTTGGTTACCCAAGAAGCCACATTCATCTGATGTTAAGAGCACAACCTCTGCCACTCACCTGCTTATTCAACCCTACTTCCTTCATTTCCTGACCGTTTAACCCAGAATTCATGTGAAGATGGTTAAATTAAGTAAATAATTTAGATAAATGCCCGCATATTGTAGGGATTCAATGATTAATTGTAAACTCTAACCTTTAAGAGAGGACTGTAGCCTAAGGCCTTAGTATTTGGAAATAATACATTTAATACAATGAAGAATTAGAAAACATTTTAAAAAAATAGGAAAAGTTTGTTCTTAAAATGGAGCTCAGTCTAAAATGTAAAAGTTTAGAATTCACACAATGGGGCCGGTGCCACGGCTCACTAGGCTAATCCTCCACCTTGCAGCACCAGCACACCGGGTTCTAGTCCCAGTCGGGGCGCCGGATTCTGTCCCGGTAGCCCTTCTTCCAGGCCAGCTCTCTGCTATGGCCCAGGAGTGCAGTGGAGGATGGCCCAAGTGCTTGGGCCCTGCACCCCATGGGAGACCAGAAGTACCTGGCTCCTGCCATTGGATCAGCGTGGTGCATCGGCCAGCAGTGCGCCAGCCATGGTGGCCATTGGAGGGTGAACCAACAGCAAAGGAAGACCTTTCTCTCTGTCTCTCTCTCTCTCACTGTCCACTCTGCCTGTCAAAAAAAAAAAAAAAGAATTCACACAATGGATAAGTGCGTTCTAATTCACAGTGAAAAATAGCTGAGCTCCTACAAGGAGCTGTATGTTATTTTCTGCCAGCCCACAATGAAACAGAAGGTGTAGCTATGATTTCCAAGGCCCAGTGGCATCCAGAGATGAATTTATTTCCCTCTGAAAGGTTTTTTTGGAAAGTTTGATGAAATATAACTAATCCTAGTCTGCCCAATTAACTAGAATCAGATAGTATAATTGTGTGTGAGTGACTAAGTATGAGTGAGTGTGTGTATGGGTGTGTGTATGAGTGAGTGTGTATGTGTGACTGTGAGAGTATGCATGTGATATGTGTGTGACTGTGTAAGTATGGGTGAGCATGTATATGAGTGTGTGCATGAGGGTGTGTGTGTGTAAGTGTGTAAGTATGGGTGACTGTGTATATGAGTGTGTATGAATGTGAGAGCATGTGTGTCAGGATGTGTGTGTGTGTTTCTTCTCCTTTAAAGAGTCCCAGTAAACAGATACATGGATTTACTAAGAAGAATCACATCATGCCTAAATGTTAGAACATACAAAATACTATAACTTGTACTCTTAAATGATTTTAATCAAGACAAAATTTACTAAAAACATTCCTTAGCCCATTCTTTAAAATATTATGCCTTTATTATTTACTAGGATGTATAATTTTCTTCATTTGGAGGGTTTGAGAAGCAAATAGCTCAGATATTTCTTTTTATTTCTGGATGATTAAAAGTCAATAATCTACCTATTTATTTCACTTGCCTTCACAGTAGAAACTGTAAATAATAAAAATAAACAATACATAAAAGTAATGATATAAAGATAATCTTAAAATCTGAGACAACCTGAGTTTCCAGCTCATGTATTATACAGCAGTTTCCTTGCATCTGCTGCTGGAAAGAAATGTCTTGTGATCATTCCCTGTTGCAGTGGCACTGGCAAGAAAGATCATAGTCTTTGGGTGAATCTTCTGCAACACATTTCTGACTGCTTTTCTAAAAGGACTTCCCCAATATGAGAAGTCAAAAATCATAGAAGTTCCATTTGTAGGACACTGCTTAAATACCCTTCACAGATAGAATTCTGTTCACATTGACTAAGTAGTACTTGCTTTCCAAAAAAGTAAAATCAGCCAAAGAGAAAACCAGTGCTCTGCAATAAAGTCAACTTGTTGTACAACATAATGATTTCCTCAAATAACAGGGAAGCTCTGATGTAAACATGTTTGAGCAAAATAACATGCAAATGACAAAGAAAGGCTTCCTCTTCCCAAACTGTGTAAATCATATCTCCATTGTCTTCTTCATCATTATTACTATTACTTTATATAGGGAGAGACTTGTGCAGGAGGGAGGAGAGAGAGAGAGAAGAAAACATTAAGTGACATTTACTTAGAAAACATACTGAGGCCAGCGCCGTGGCTCACTAGGCTAATCTTCTGCCTGCGGTGCCGGCACCCCGGGTTCTAGTCCTGGTTGGGGTGCCAGATTCTGTCCTGGTTGCTCCTCTTCCAGTCCAGCTCTCTGCTGTGGCCCGAGAAGGCAGTGGAGGATGGCCCAAGTCCTTGGGCCCTGTACCCACATGGGAAACTAGGAGGAAGTACCTGGCTCCTGGCTTTAGATAGGTACAGCGTGCCGGCCGTAGCAGCCATCTAGGTGGTGAACCAATAGAAAGAAGACCTTTCTCTCTCTCTCTTCTCTCTGTCTCTTTCTGTCTAACTCTGCCTGTCAAAAAAAAAAACATACTGAATGTGAGATCCTATGAGAGGAATGAAATGATCATCAAAAAATTTCTGAGTGTAAAATGTGAAGAATTGCTGGCCTAGCCTGTGCAGAGTACACAAGCAAAGAAGGTTGGTAACAAGACTGGTGAAGGCAGAATGGATACAGTAGCAATGATTATGAATAACAGCAGAAGAGGCTTGCATGTGGTGCATAAATGCCTTTCTAGAAGAGGAAGAAGAAGGTGAGGTCAGAGGCGCTGATCCTAGTGCATTTCTTGAACAAAGGAGGCTATGAAAGGCAGTGAGTGTAGGATTGGCTTATGTGCGTGGAGAAGGGGGAATGGGGAATTGACTATCTTGCTGAAATAGGAAACTCAAAAATAAAGTATCTTTTAAATACCATTTGATACTATTGTCCCTTTTAGAAATGTGTACACATAGCGTATACCCTATGGTGAAAGTGTGATATGTGACGTATGTGACATGTGACAATCATGAGTAGTTTGCTGTGCAATGTACTATGAAATACACAGATTAATATGATATACTACCTATCTAGAAGTATACCTTACAATCAAGTTTTGGATAGAAGTGACTTAAAATTAACCATAAATAATTATAAATAGTAGTCCTTGGGGTACTATCAAGCTATCATGCGTTAAGGGTTAATACTTTGGGATACATAACCTTTTTCTTTGCTAAATCAATTTATGGGAAATAGCAATGATAATACCATGAAGTGGGTATTTTGTTAAGCAGTTAAGAAGCTGCTTGGGACACCCACATTGCATATTGGAGGGCTTGAGTTCAAGACCTGGTGCTGCCTCCAATTTCAGCTTCTTCTGACTCCTATGCTGGGAGGCAGCCCCATGTGCTTGGGGCCCTGTCTCCTACATGGGAGATGGAGTTTAAATTCCTAGCTTGAGGCTTTGGTTTGATCCAGCCATGGCTACTGTAAGCATTTGTAAGTGTATCAACAAATGGTAAGTCTCTCTCTTTCTCTTTACCTTTCAAATAAACAAATAAATTAAAATTTTAAACAGGAATTTTAATTCTGTTATTATGTATGCATTTCAGAGACTAACCTGAATATTATGTTAAACAAATTTTCCTAGGATGGTAGCTTTAACTAAAATCTGATATATTTTTTAAAAGCCAAATTTTAGATTAGATACAAAAAAAAAATTTCTACACCTACTTCTAATTTCTCCCAAATGGCATATGAGTAAGTTTATGTGAATGTAAGTAAGCTTATGTGAATCTGAAGATTTCACCTTGCAGATAATCCAAGGGTACTAATTGTGTATTGGATCAAGGCACTCCATCCAAACCCATACTTTGATATTTTTTCATATGTCATATATCATGGCTCATAACTTTTGAAATATTTAATAAGTTTTTAGAATTATATACTAGATAGAAGATAGCATTTCATTACACGGAGGGGGGAAATGAACTGGGATTGTACATTTTTCTTGTACTTAACATGTAAGCTGGCACTCTCAAAAAGGGACATGATTTGTTCCTAAATGTTATTTACCAGCATCCCTACCCTTGCATACACACAGCACACAGAAACACGAGTGAAGCACATCATTTGTTTCATATGGCAATAACTGTCAGAGTAGAAAATAAATCTTAGTAGCCGCACATGTTTTTAAAGTTTTGCACTGATTAACCGGAACTCTGGTTAAAATTAGTTTGTAATGGGCATATTTTTGCTTAAAACATTTACAGATTCAGAAAAGAAGAATGACTTGGGGAAAATAGCAGAAGGTTTGACACCTGAAGACTTGAGTTGAAAATCATTGCAATTTGCCACTTCCATGGTCTTCTAAGCCAATTCTCTTTTCAAGTTCAGATTCCTAATCTATAGAATCCATGCATGATTGTTGCAAACAGAAAATTGA